GTTTCTTGACAATACTTTTGCCGTTTCTTGACAATACTTTTGCCGTTTTCTGGGCAATACTTTTGCCGTTTCTGGACAATACTTTTGCCGCCTCGCCGTAAAATTTTCTGCCGATTTCGCGAGTTTGTATCAGGATAACATAACATGGCAGGAGGTCGATTGAGGAACCAGTTCCGAGAAATATCGTCATGTCCAAGAATTCTCTAGGCAATACTTTTCCTGTTTCGCACTACATTTTGATTATTTTACTTACCTTATACTTACCTTACTTACTTACCTTTCCTTACTTGTGTTCCCTTCCTTGTTTACATTAATTCCTCTTCATTTAAATATCATTTAAGATATTAAGATATTGCCCACTCTCTATTTTCTGAGTTCAAAGGGAACATTGAAAATTTACAAGAGATAGGAATATCATAAATTTTGTGCGTAGCTCTTAGCTTGGTTTCGATTTCCAAAAATTGCATTTTGGAAAACGATACCAATTACCAGGTCTCACCACGTGGAGGTGGCTACGCATCGAGACCCGAACATGCGCCCTAATGGCGCACCCTACTGGTGCTATCTGTATCAATGATACTCTAGTCTAACTTGGAGCGAAAAAAGTTAAAGTGAAAATCTACTGACACTTTATTTAATTTCGTGTCTTACAAAGGGAACTTCGATTCGATATACTACAACTCTATTGTCGCAAAACTAAGTTATCTTATTTCCCATAAAAATAATGAATGGAATATGATAAACGCGAGCAAGTGCAAAATCGCGATCGCGCCCGAACGAGTTCGCGATTATTCGAAAGACCGACTAGCCTACGAGACGTACTCTCGTGTACAAGACAATTCCATGTCTCGGCACCCTCCCGATTGAACCTAGCCCACCCAGCCACCACAGACCCTGCCATGACTTACTCGAGAACGAGAGCGATCGACGAACCAGCGAAACATCCAAAATCAAGCCGAGGTTCCCTAGCGAGGCCCTGTAGCCGGTCACGCAGGCCCCTGCCACATGGGGGAGAAATTAATCATCCCATGGGGTCTGACCGTAGGCCCATATGCAATGTCCGGCTACAGGGCCCATACCCCGGTCGTGCACGCGCTGGTGCCCAGGACGACTAGGGCCGACAGACCCTCGAATTGACCCAGATGAGTGCCAGCCCGCCGACCACCCTAGAACCGACGCGTGACAAGGGTGGCAGTGGCGAGGGTGAGTGTCGGAACGAGTCGTTTGGATGACTTACGAAACATGGAGTTGTAAAATACGCGAGAGTACGTCGCGTAGGCTAGTCGATACTTAAGAATGATCGCGATTATCGCGAGAACAATTATGTTCTGTTTGGTAAACGAGAGGGATAAGAGGGGAAAGATATGAAATGTATATATATATATATATTCGCTCCAAGTTAGGTAACATACCTTTGTACGGGTAGCACGCACAAAATACTTAGCCTAGGCCTCTATCTTATAATTACTTATGACTACTTAAAAGTGGACGCACGCATCCCGCGTCGTTCATTGTTGTGACCGAAATGGTCTTGAGGAAATATGAAAATTTTGAGAGACCTAAAAGCTGAAACAGAATATATTATTGTTAATATAAACCTAAAAGGAAACGGATTAGTACGAGGAAGGAAAACGAACGAATAGAAACCATGAAAGTTAACCAAGTACAAGGAGCAAGCTACCGATAACACAGAAAGAAACCAACGATGAAACATAAACAAACCAACAAGGAAACATTCGAATATTGTACGAAATATTCAAATGTTCAAAAATAAATGAATAGAAAGGAATAAATAAAATCTGGGAGAAGAAAAATGTAATTAAAATCTGAAAAAAGAAATATAATTAGAATCTGAAAGGAGAAACCTAACTAAATCCAACGATGAAACATAAACATTCCAACGATGAGAAATAAACAAACCAACGACGAGTCATTCGAATATTATATGAAACATTCGAATCGTCAAATAAAACTAAATAAAAACGAAAAAATATAATCTGAAAAAGAAAAATTTGAAAAAGAAAAATGATTAAAACCTGAAAAAGGAAAAAATAATTAAGACCTGTAAATAAAAAAAAGTTAATAGCTGAAAACAACAAAAAAAATACTAGTAAATTGTTTAATGGGGTGAGGTGAGGGTGGGGTGGCTAGCCCCAACCTCACTTCGGACTCCCACCCCTCGCGCACAACGAAAATTTAGATGTTATCCTACCGAAGTCGAACCGACAAATGAGTCTTGCGCCGTTGCGTCGCTCCTTATATAACCTCCGATCGGCCGAACTCCCCACTCCAATCAGAAATTTTCAAACTTCACCGATTCCATTAATTTTTATTTTAACGTGTTAATAACCAATAATTTATTAATTTTTCCACTTTGACTATAAATTTATGTTATAAACAATTTGTTGTTAACAATATTAATTTGTCATTAACAATCAGTGTAATAATTTATAAATTTTTTGCAAATTATAGCATATTTTAACACAAACACATTATCAAGTTCAAGTAATAGATAATAATTTATTGATTTTTTCACTTTTGTTATAAATTTACGTTGCAAACAATTTGTTATTAACGTGTTACTAACTATAAATATAATAATTTACAAATTTTATTTATGTTTTTAGAATATAAATTTCCGTAATACATTTGTATGAAGTACTTTTTTGCTTTATGAACTTTATTATTAACAATTTTAATTTGATAAACTCGACATATTTTTACCTAACTTTTAAGTTAACTTATAATTTATAACTTGTAAGTTAGGTAGGAGTTTATTTTTTAACAACTTTATATTGAACAATCATGGAAGTTTGTGTATCGAATGACGAGTGTTTCAAATTACCGCTCATTTAGAGAAATTTCTTATAATTTTACAATCAGTATATAAAGGTATATGAAAACGTAAATATTTTATTTATATAAAAATTGGAATTTACTGGACCATGAGCTTGGTGTAGATTACGGATGACTACAGCCCTGATGAATCTAAATATGCGAAAAAAGCTTGCGTGGCGGCAAAATCCTGCTTATAAGTTTCCGATATATATTTTACCGTCCTGTCAATATTAAATCATCTAATGGATATTACACGTTAGAGAAAAAGTTAAAATTTAGTTATTAAAATTTGTTAGAATAAATTTTTTATTAAATGTCTTTACTTACAAGGAAATCTTGTACATAATCATAGTGCACCTACAAACAAATGAGGCATAAGTTAAAATTGCGATAAACGTAAACAAATTAAATTAAAATCGCGGCACTCCCGAAAGAAGATAACTCCATGTTTTAGTACCTGCGTCCGATTGGTCCTCCCACAATTTGAGTTATTGCCGACCTCGACATGTCTTAACCGAAGGCCACGCCACTGAACCAATGAAATGGAGCAAAGCAAGGGACCCCAGCGAGTGTCTCAGCTGGAGGTAGTCTGCGCTTGCCTCATGGGGTAGGAGCCAATGGAAGTCCATCCCATAAGGTCTGGCCACAGGTATATTATACGCGCCTGTGCTATGAGATCCATACTCCAATCGTATACAGGTAACACCAAAGCTGACAAACCCTCGTGTTGGGAGCTCGATAACGTACATCAACAAACTCGCCACGTGACGATAGTAAACACTGACTTGGGAGAATTTGAAGCCTGATCAATGGAGCAACTTAGAAAAACATAGAATTACCAAATACACGTCAATATGTTGTAGGCTAGTCATTTCTCTAGAACAATTGCGAACATGAACAATATGAAGAGTAAAAGAAAAGGAATTTTTATTTTTCGTTAAAGTTTACTTTAGTGCTTTTGCCCTAAATCTGTTTACTGTATAGTATATATATATATATTGGATTTCAGAAAATGAATAGATGTAATTTACTTTATTTATATACCAACGCTATTAACTCCAAAATATTAGGGATCAGAAATTCGTATTTCTCAATCTCTGTTTTTATCATAAATTATTATTCTATGTTTTTATTAACACTTCTTAGGTTTCAACTGAAAATTATGTTCGCAATAGATAACGCTGTATAAAGGTAAAACGTAGTTAATAGTTATTTTTGTTCCAATTTCAATTTTGATTCGTCCGCACATTACTATACTTCTATTGCCCAATCATAGCACAAATATATTGGAAATAGTATCGATTTTAAATCGAAGTTGATATCCTACTTTTTAACTTTTTTGTTTACTTGTTTACTATTGGCTTTCTTCTCTTTAACCCGCGCTAATTCAAACACCTCTTTGCTCGTTCTATGTTCTTACTTCATGAGAAGTAAATACGTTGGTTATATAATTCTTTGTCTTTGACGTATAGCTGTTCTCATAACATTCTTTTTCATTCTAAATTCTCATTTTATGGTGGTTAATTACAATCGTGAAATATATTGAGAATTTGTATGCAGCGTAATCTATATAACCTATCATTATTTCGTTTCTTTTATTTGAAATAATATCATTATAATGATAGTACTTATACATACGATTTTAATGATAGTAGAATAATAATAGAGATATAACAAATGAAATATATAAAGACATAGTAAACATTTATTTTATCATAACAACTTTATTGCTAGTTTTAATCATTTCTAATGGAGATAATATCAAAGCTTATTTTACGAGTATAACTATATTTGCAATAAATTAAGTGATCTTACTAAACTACTTCAATCGTTTAAAAGTTAAGACGTGACTTGAAAAATATTTTTTCGCCTCTTGATAATTCCAAAGATTCTTATTAAATTCGTCAATATAATGCTTGAAGGTACATTTACTTACTTATGTTCGCAAAAACATTTTAAATAAAACACGAAACACACAATACATATATTATACACGCATAGGTACATTACACAATTGAAGAAAACGTATGTATATTTAAAATAGGTTACAATACTAATTATTATTATGCTTCTCGCATTGATTATTGAAACTATTCATAAAACACAATCTTCTCTGCATAATGAATCTTGTGAAAATGAATCTTATGGATGGCGCTGTATCAGCACAGTTTCGTAGATACCCTTAACACGTGAAGGTTTTAACACATAGAACGTTACATATAACAAAACATTGTTATTATATCACAATGGGTATTATAAATGACAAATTGAATCACGTAAATGCAAAACCAGAGGAAGTGCAAAAGTCTAATAAACCATTGAAACCTTGTTGTGCTTGTCCAGAGACGAAAAAAATAAGAGATGATTGGTAAGGGTATATTTAAATATTCAATAATCAATATTTTTACATAAAATATTAGAATTTTAATTTAAATTTAACTACTAAATCTTTTTCACAATGTACATGATACTATATTAATTTGCTTTTAATCACACATTAAAACATAACCTTATCTTGAAATATACTTTTTAAATACACTTATTTGACAAATAAAATATTAATTTTTTTTTCAGCATTATTACCCAAGGTGAAGAGAACTGCACACATTATATAGAAGCACATAAAGCTTGTATGCGATCATTAGGATTTAATATATAAATATAAAATATGTATTATTTTTCAGTATTTAATACATAAATGTAAAATATATGTTCCTTATAATTATTTAGTATATATTAAAATGACATTAGTATTAAGTATTTAGAAATAAATTAATTATTTTATTTGTATTAAATGTTTTGTTTATTAAATCCCCTTGAACTTCACACGATACGTAGTATTTCATATTAAAATGGAAAAAATATTTTTTCTTTTTCAAATGGTGTAAAACAATCACACATAAATTGGGAATTCTAACAAAGCATATATTTTAATTTGACATGTGAATAATTTGAAGTATTTTTTTTACACTTGCATAACAATTCCATAGTTTGCTTTACCAGAACATTCCAAGATGTTGAACGTATAGTTAATCAACATGATAAAATGTAATAGAAATAATAATAATAATTTTACTGTCAGTCATAATTATTGCATCTGGTTTTACTAGATAAAATGATTAATTTTCACCTGACTACTGCACTTTATAAATTATCAAAACTATAAAATAATAATACATTTTTCTTTTTAAAGTTCTCCATGGCTTTCCAATGACTTTCAATTATAATAAATAAAACTTGTGTATATCAGTATAATTTATAATGTACAATAAGTGTAATAATAATAATAATAGTAATAATAACAATAATAATATTAGCAATTATAATTGTAATGATGAAAACAATATAACTCTTAATTATATGATATAAATAACAAGTTAATGGACTGTATTCGCTTACACTTGATTTTTTGTCACAGCATTGTGTTTAACTTACATGTTAATGTATGGGTAGCCTTAAAGTAATTCAATAATTAAATAGAATATTCATTAATAGTATGAAAGTAGTTGTACTTTATGTATGAGTGAATGAAGTGTAATATAACGAAGAGTGTGTGCAAGTATGTGTATATGAATATAGATAAATGTATATATAATATATGGAAATATGTTTTCTATTCTTGTAGACACCCCAAAAACTGTGTAAAAGCAATGACAATAAAAATTCAGTAAAGTATAATTTCTTTAATGGTATATAAAATTTGTTTATCGCAACGCGCATTGCGTATCGTTATTGGTACTTTTATTGACTAAAAATTGACAACATTTTGACAACAACGTTTATTAAAAATGTAAAGTACAAGTGAAAGAAGTTAAAACGCGGACAATGCTTTCTTTAATATTTAGATCACATGGAGTGTCTTCAAAAATATTTAGAATTGGTGATAGCATTAAATCGATAACAGCATCACAGCTACGAAAGAGTCTCATTTTTTCAAGCTCTGCCATGGCTTTTTCGCTGATGCAACCGATCGGCATAGGACGATTGGTCGACTAAAAATTAGCACAGCCTGTTCGGTGCGACGAAAATTGAGCAGAACATTGTGACCAAGAAACGGCGATCAAATTGGTTTTATCTTTTGAATACATCGTAACTGTAAATCTCTTTCCCAAGCACACATCTTAAATACAATATTTTCAGAGCTGATTCTGGATTTAAAAAAAGATCAATACGCGCGACATATAGACATTTTTTAGAAATTACAATTTTTATAGTTCTTTCGTCGGTCGATTTCAACTCCAAAACTCTGGACCGCGATACAGGCTTCGATACACGTGATTTGAGGAGCCGACACATGACGGCGAAAAAATGCAAGAATATATTATTAAATAATATTTTTGCAACTACTACAGTGGAGCAAACCTCCTAATGATAAAACCTAGAACATTGCGGTCATGTAACTTTAAGGATGCTGGACAAAATTGGTTTGAGGCAGTCTATCGTCTTTCCAAAAGATTTGACTCCTGTTCGAGCCAGTAAATCTCACCTATCTTGCGGTACGCGAATCAAACGTAATACTTTGCTGTCCTGAAATCATTAAAAATATAATTTAATGAACAATTTCTTGTATTATAAGTATAGTCTCATGACAAGTATATATATATGGTAAATAAATGTATAAAACTTTACATGATACTCTAAGTCGGTTTCCATGATACCGGTAACAGCAACGACTTGATACTGTCTCGCTTTCATTGCTGCAATCGATTTGCGAACTAAACGCATTGCACCGAGTGCACTACTTGTACTGTTAAATTGTGCCATTTGTGCTGGACTATGGCTTGGATCGAGTACTAACATGGTTATTGAACCATCTCTTAATTGTTCTACTCCAATTATTGTTCTACTATGACCTACAAATAACAGTAAAATAAGCAATAGTTTATGCAATTCTATTTTCATTTTTTAAAATTCCCTCTTATGCACTTACCTTGATGTTGCAAATAAAGAGGTGGTTTAAAATCATCGCATCGTTGGAAGTATTGTAAAACCCAATTAAACATTTCAGGATGTCCACCATCAGAATTAGTTGGTGTATAAAAATCTACCAACTGGCACCTATGGCAAAAAGATGATGTATAACATGATTTTTAAAAAGAAAAATACAAATTAAAGAACATACTTTATTCTCAAACTAGACAATAATATGACTACTTCTGTAGGGCCAATCCATTTTCTGGTATTCACCAATTTTCCTCCTAACTGTTCCGCTCCTTGAGTATCAAAACCTTGAGCCCAAGCCCACTCTATCATTTTCTGAAGTCTAGAGATCGACGGTATAGAACTTCGTAGTGGATTCTTGGTAGAACTACCGCTACCCAAACCAGAATTCCACGCTTTATAAACTAACTCATTGTACCCTGTATGTTGCAAAAGTGACGAAATTAACATTTGCAAATTTCTATAACCGCATCCCCATCCCTTGTCTCCATAAGTAGTGGCATAATGGTCTACATTAGAACACACCCAGGTGCTTAATACATTACTACATGCTTGACTGACAGCCCGTATCTTGGGAACTAGTCCTATAAAAAATTGATCAATTCGTGAGAAGTATTCTTAACGTTAGAAATAAACATTTCTAGACAAAGATAATTACCACGTATACAAGAGCTACCATCATCGATACCGCTACTTTCGGCTACTCTGAGTTCTGTCTGCCTTTCATAATAATCAGCAATAGTCATTTCTCCTGAATATACAGCCCGCTGCATATTAGTGACGCTTTGTTCTCTAAAATTCCCCTGATTGTCCATTCCATATTGCGCCCTTAACATCTCAAATTCACGTTGTTCGCGTAATTTTCTAAGTTCCTTTTCAAGTCTCTCCATATCTTTTGCTAACATTCTATCGGTAGACAAGTCTGGAGTTATGGGAGATGGAGTACATTTTTTACTGAAATGTTCTTCAATGTGTGCAGTTAGCTCGTCGTTGCTTTTAAACGAAGTACTGAAGCAAACTGGACATGCAGGTGTATCGCTACCAATGGTCGCTTGAGCTGACTGGGAAGCTGCACCATTCGCAGGACTATGTGAAAGAAGCAAAACAGATAATACAATTACAAATGAGATAGAGTTAGTATATATAATATTATAGTATTATTTTACCTCAAGATATCTTTGTGTTCTATATTAACATGTAACTCAAGATCAGAAGAATTTGGAAAAGATGTAATGCACAGAGGGCAGTTAAAAACACCATCACGTGATGGTGGAGATACAGGTGGGAAGGACGGTGATGTGAGATCAAAATGTTGTCTATTGATATGCTCTTCTAGCCTTAATGGACTGTCAGAACTGTATGGACACATAGGGCACTCTTGAACTAGAAGTTTTGGCGAAGCATGAGATCTTAATTGCAAATTTAGGCCTGAACGCAGTGGAGATCCATGTCCAGCTGCACCTTCTATCACTGTAAATTCATGTCTGTTTATTTCACTTTGTGGATTTTAATTATAGTATCATCAAATTTCTCAGTACCATTATTAACATTTCCAATGTTGTTGTTGTTATTATTATTGTTCACATTAACACTAGGAATTTGTGGCTCTGATTTTTGTATGTCTTGCTGCTGCTTAGCACGAGGACTAAATGAACTGCTCCAACCATTTTGAAGAAGAGGAGGACTCGGAGACATAGTTGGAGAAGGACATGGACCACGGCATTCATCGTGTCTCCTATCATCCACTAATGAATCATCATCGATAAATGCCATCATGTCATTTTCTGGCGTACTGGAATAATGGATATAAACAGTTATTATCTTATGATTAATACCTAATACATATCTATACATATATTAACTACATTTTTAACAAAAGTATTTTTAATACTTTTCATAATCATTATCCAATTCATATCCTGCTTTTCTTTTACGATGATTTGTCATATCACGTGCAATTAATTTAAGCTAATCTACATAATGATTACATGATTCATAAATAATAGTATAGAGACAATGCTCAACGTAACTATTATGTATAACCAGGAATGTTAAACGCGAATTTGTTTCATTGCGATTTAACGTGTTTCGTTTTTAACTTGTTATACACTGGATAAATCAAAAAATAAATCTAGCGATCAAGAATTGCTTTGCTGGTAAAGACTTTCGTTGCACGATACCTAAACTTTGTAATGTATATATTAGCGACATCTAAGACTCATCTTTGCCGCCATTTTCCTCGCAATCAGGATAATTTAAACAGCCTACTACGAACGTAAAGAATATCTATGAAAAAATAACGTAAGAAATGAGAAATACAATTATAAGAAATATACCTTGGTGTTAGATAATCGAGATGGGCACTGTTAACGTGGGTTAACATTTCTGTTGGCGAAATTTCACCTAAATCGCAAAAGGGACAATTTGCGGCTCCTTGAAGGTGATAAAAAACCATGTGAGACCTCATCTCCTCGTCGTTGAAACCTTCCAAACCGCAAATTTCGCACGTGTAATTCATTTCCGGTGGTTTACTGGACGCCATTTTTATTACATGCAATCAACACTTAATGATCTATAATAAAAATAAAAATGCATATTATCAAATTCGCACCGATGAAAATTATTTATGCAATATTTTAGTCAACATGCATGCAACGTGTCTCTCCTGAATTGCCAAATAACCGCATCTCGTAATAAATAAATTTTCAAACGAGGCAACTAACGTTATATTAATCCGCGAAAAGTGCATTTTCATTCAAACATCGTACCGCGTTATTCCACTGGATGAAATAAATAACGAGAATGTTGATTTGGACAACGTAACTCGCGACGGTGCATCGAAACTGCACTGTCGAGCATTTTCCTCGGAGAATCGATAATTGAATTCAGGGTCGCGTACAAGTGTTCGCGATTGTGCCGTGGTTACCCGTTAGCTTTCTCGCGAATTGTATATCGCGAACGCGTGATTGTCGAGCGCAGCACACGAAAACGGTAACACGAGCAAAATGCGTAACGACTCGTTTCCGATGCATTGTGTTGGCTGATTTACGGCCAAAAGCCCATAGAGTTCAGCCGTGATGCAACGATTCCCGCGAATGGAAGACGTCCCAGCACGATGGGCCGCGTTTGCTGAATCGTGGTTCCGCGTGTACGAGGAAATGCAACGCCCTTACAATTGCAATTCCTTTTATTACCTGTATCCATCCCGCTACCGTGATCGCGTGTCAATCAATGCATTTCCGTAGCCGGCAAGAATTCCATAGGTTGCTTTCGCGAACGAGCAACCTTCGATCGGAGTAACGGAGTCGCGACACGACGATGGCGACGTCGACAACCACGGCCACGGCGGTCAGAGAATCAAAGGTGAAGAAGAGTGCACTTTCGATGTCGTTTTTCACGAGGAAGAGGTCGCGTATCTTTTTGCTCGCTCGCACTCGAGGAAACTAGGCCAACCAGTGAATCGCAGAAGAAACGAGTACACGTTAGGTTGCTGGGTTGGGTTGACCCATTTAGGGTCGCGGTTAACGCGTGTACTCTTGCACTCGCGCCTCCGACTTCCCCGTAACATCCAATACCATGACACTCACCGAATTAATAGGATCAATTTTAGCACACGACCCGCTTGCACCCCCTTTTCGCCAACACTTTTTTACCCCGTAACACGCGCACAGCAAGGCGTCCGTGCAGGCCAGAGTGCCTAACACGGCGCCTCGTTTGCCTCCATATGACAGCGCCAATCCACCCCGACACTTTCACGAAATGAGTTTCTCGTTCCACCACCCCGCCGTGTCGATCCTCCGCCACTCGTCTCTCTGGAGGGTTGCGTTTCTACAGCGGACCTTGCCGAAGGCGCCACCCTCCAAACCCTCGTTGCACGCGGTCGGTAAAGCTTTTTCCAACTTCCGCCTTACTTTTGCCTCTCTCAATTCTCCCTCGATTTCGGCCGCGATTCTTTCATCCAGCAAAATTCCATTATCCACGAATTACCGATAATTCGCCCAGTTACTCCTTACTACCTTCCTTCGGTCCGATGCTCGCAATTCGGTAGACTAAAACAGAATTTTCGGTCATTAGTTACATCGCGTATGACTTCACGGTGAAGTTCGTCCGGATCTACTCGAACAGGCCAAGCCGAGAATTTTGTTCAACGCGTGTAACGATGGTGAATTTTCACCAGAACAAATACCACATATATCAGGTTACGATGACAATGCGCTCAATGGGGGCACCTTTAGCGCGCAGACTCGAGATATTTGAATCTTATTTACGATACTCGGTACACGTTTCCGGGTTATACGTTAAACGAGATCTATCGAGAAATGGCAATCGTCTAAATCGAGGCTATCTACAATCTGAAACGGCACAAGCTGGGAAGCCCATCGTCGCAAAGAATTATCTTCGATGGACAGAAAATAATCAAAGTCGGCGTTTTAACGAAAGCTACCAACGACCGATTATTCGGCTGACCTTTCGAATCGAAAATTTTCCTTTAAACATGACTTCGTAGAAGTTCTTAGACGTCTGATTTTTCGAAATGCACTTATCGCCGCCTCGATGCGTTCCAATTTCTCTCATTGTATGCCTATTGTTCCTCTACGACGAAGTTTTCCATAATGACAAGTCGGCAAATCGTAAAGCAATAGGCATGGTGCATTATCCAAATCACAGAACACGATCAGCTCGTCGTCAATGGCGAATTAATATCCGTGAGCCGTTGCGTTTCAAGGTGCGTAAGCCTCGATAATTTAAAGAGTCTAATCGATCGTTCGTTTATATGGAAAGAGAAAAAGGAGAACACGTTAGGATGTTACGGAGTGTCGAGGGGAGAAGAGAGTCGGACATTATGTTACCCGAGTGGAACGATGGAAATACTGTCGTTGCTTGTGGTGGATAAAACGCGATGAAAGGGTGGCAGAGGTAGACATTGGGAATTCTGATCACGGTTAAAACATTCCTCTGGCACGGTGCAAAACGTGCGACAAATTTACGCGAGAAACTCGATTTCTCACGATGGGTGCTGCGCCAGCAGGAGATAGCTCTGGTCCTCAATTTCTGTCGCTGTTCGATGCTAGTTCATTGACATGCAGTCGACGATTGACGGAGGATGCAATATTCACAGAACTATTTGGTCTTTCCCCTTGGTCGTGCGCTCGCCCTGTCCCTCCTTCCTTTCGCTCGTTCGAAGGGTGCGTGAGTCAAATACTTGAAACGTGCATGCATGGAAAGTAAATCGCCGGCAAATTTATTTCGCTAACGGACACCTTCTCGAACTGCAGGACGATCGATTCGATCAGCATCGATCACCGTCATAGATCATCGTTGGATCGCAAATCGAGATAATCGTCCTCGACATCGTGTTATTCGCCTAGAAATTGTTCAAAGATCATCGATCACACGAGCAGTATAGGAAATCAGAATTCATAGTCTCTAATGGTCAGATAGATGCACGAGATGCCGTCCAATTAAACGACGCTCGCCACTGGATAATTAATAACCATTGCGACTACTTAAGTGAGTTAAACGTGGCTGAGCGAAGTCCGCATTGCAAAAACGTTTCTGGCACGATCTCGCGTCGATTGAGAAGGTTGGAAGTTAGGCGTTTCTGAAACGTCTGGAAAAATCACCGTACGATAACCAGCCTGAGAACACACCACCTGCAATTACCCAACGTGCTACGAGAATTTAATTGTCGTACATCAGTCTCACGACTACGGATTACTTCCGGAACGTAGTAGGGCTTATACTGCCAATTGTAGCCTATTACGCGCGATCAAATATCTCGTTCGAAGACAGTGTTCAAGTTCAAGCAACTGCATCGTGAGGGGAATTTTACGAGCCCGGTTTCTAGACCACGAATGTCTTTGTTAATATTAAGAGCACTACGACGGGCTCGTAAGTATCGCAAGGATAATGCCATCAACCGTTCATTTTGCAAATTAGTCGTCGAGTGTAGCATGTTACATTAATAATGGTCTTTATAACGTACAAAGAGGCGATGCTGCTACGTAAACCGGTACACATTTGCAAGAACTTCGCGAGGTATTTATCGATGTTCAACTGGAAACTGGTTTTATCCACTGGTCATTTTTCCCTTGGTCTATGGACTACGAATTTCCCTGGTCGAGCTTTCGCGTTTTCCTTCAAGGCCGGGACAATCTCGCCTGCGAATTGTAATTACACGACCGTACGTATCGTATGATTACCGACGATAAAATTGTTATCGCAAATAACGGTCTGGTGCGTTGGGTGTGCGCGTCCACGATGAAATAACAAGCCTGCTCTAAGGAGAAACACCAGCGGAAGAAAGTGGATAAAGATGCAAAGGAAGAGAGAGACTCGAGAAGGAACAATCCATCCGCAGCCTACGTGCGGATTGAAACGGATTTATCGGCGGAATAAATTAATAAATTACCCGACCATCGAGTCGATTGACTACGCGAGGGGCTCGGGAACGCAACCCGTACCATCGTCATGGAACGGAATCAAAATTTAACTGCGAAATCTGCCGACCGCTAACGGGGAAATTTCCATTTTCCATTGCATCGATACAAGATATCGCGTTTCGCAATCTCAATTAGCCTCCTACGCCTACACACAACCTAACCAGAGCTGTTCATTTCGTGCTAGATCTTGCTTATGCGCAGCTATATCGCGAACGATATCGTATGCGAATATTCCATCCAAGTATCTTCGCTGTACAACTCGAATAACTCTTCTCGAAGTGAATCACTGTCCGCCGAAGATCGTAACAGAATGAGCGATACGCATGTTCCAACGATAGCCGAAGACGACCATGCTTGCTCGTGGTACGTCTCAATCGCTATCAAAGGAAGTGTACAAGGCGTGGGTTATCAGTTTACCCGATGTAGGAATGCGGTTTTCTAACCCGTGCTTAACTAGCTCGTGGTTCCTTCGAATTTATGACTCTCGTTGAGATCCCTCTTCCGAGCAGAGTCAACGTTCAGCTAATCCGTTTGGAAGCAGATAACGAAATTGACCGATACCCGGCTTCGGGTACGATGCCAACTTGATGCTTCTCCACGTGTCATTCCCTGTTAGTCGGTCGAATTATAAGCGAAATCCCTGAAAAGCAAGGAAAATACAGGAGGATAAGATTGAACGGACGAAGAAGAGAGAGAGAGAGAGAGAGAGAGAAGAAAAAATACGTACATACCGAGGATCGTGTGGGTACAGCTCGAAGATGTCACAATAGCAGTTGCACTGCGTGACAACGCGCCACGCGTCTTTTCCCTCCTCCCACACGCAATCCCTCCGTCCCTATCTCCCTTTTGGGCCTGCTCTCTCGCTCGCTCCTCCTTTCTCTCGGTCTCTCGGTGTCTGGTCTCTTTCTTCCTCTCACCCACTCAGTCGAGTAAAAAGCTTACCGGAGAGACTCGAGGCCGCAAGTGCGACGAAAAGCTCAGTCGCTCGCGGACTGCGCTCCAGTGCACTTCGTTTTTGCGCGAGTCCGCTTCCCGCCGACATGCCAACTCTGTCACTATCGTTCGCGATCGTTAGTACATTTCGCGCGCTGCTCGCCGTGTGTTAACATGCCTCGATGGGATCAGTGATCATGGATCTCGAGACTCGTCCGCGATTTCGCAGAAACGCGCGGTGTTCCACGATGCTGGTGATCGGTTCGCTGACGACGATGTTCGCGGTCATCGTTGTCGCCAATCCTTTCCTCGACGCCGCGCAAGGTAATTTAGTTCCTCTTCTTTCGTCGTTTCCTTTCGTTCCCGAAATTTCACTACTGTCGCGTGATCCACGGACTCGCGATCCCAACCAGGCAAGATCAAAGGGAAGAGGTTTTGGCTGGTAAGCCGCCACGAGTCGTTAACCCTGTTATCGCGGCGCCAGATGAACAGCGATTATTTTTAAAATAACCGATGTCAACCCCGGTCGTTTTCGCGACTGCGTTAAGATACGAGGTCGACAGACAGATTCAGCGTGACCGTATCCTCGCGGAGCTTTGTCATCGTGCGAGAAGAGATATCGACGACAACTTCTCGGCCACATGTGCGCTCTCGGCTTGCCCTCTTCTCCTCTATCTCTCTTTCCTTGATTAATTCTCGCCGCTTTTGTCAGCCTTTTTACCTTTTTTCAGCCTCTTCCGCCGTTCGATTCGCGCGGTGATCTTAATGCTCTCCCTTCTTCGACGTTATCGTCAACGCACTCGAGAAGCGGGCCGGGGCTTCTTTATCGAGTTTCCGCGCCTAAGTACGCTCAAGTGTCGATGCAACTTTGCTTCTCACGAAATCCACGGGACAAAAACTGTGCTACCCGTCTTCCGGAATTTTTCCTCGCTAATTGCCACTGCTAATGCATCTTGCTCCACGTTTGAACGCGTGGAATACACACGCGTGACGAAGAACCAGCGACTAACGATTCGAGGAATTTCTTAAAAACTGCTCGTTCCGCGTTTCGTCACCAGGTCCGCTGATCTTTAATCTCTCTTTCTCTTCTTCTCTTCGTCTTTCCCTCTTTCTCTCTCTCTCTCTCTCTCTCTCTCAAAATTTACATGGTGCACGTGCGTGTGAACGAGGTGTCGCTAACGGTCCTTCGCCTCTGCCTCTCTTCAACTCGGTTCGAACGCGTCCACGGGTCTTGTACAATAAGAGGAAAGAGAGCTATACAAGCAGAGAGCCATTGGCAGCCGCATATTCTCGTATACGTATATCCGTGCAACAGAGTTCGCGAGGTGATAACGTGTCGCGTTTCTCTCCGATCCTCTCACCTTTTCGTTGCACGCGTTTCCTCCCGTCCGTTCCCCCCGTTGGGGCGCGACTTATTGCCAAGTTATTCGCTAGAGGCACACGCGAGCGGAATGATTCCGTGCTAATTGATATCTCATAAATTCCCGCGGAACCTTTTTTCCACGCTGCGAGCCAAGCTAGGCTCCTTGGTTGGTATATATCTATCAGTCAGCGCAGTCATAGCAAGGCGTAGGAACGATTGTACCTCGTAGAACCAGCTCCCATATTTATGCCATACAATGCTAATGCGCTAGACAAGCTCTGGCTATCGGGTTTTATCGACGATCGAAAGCAGTCGTTTCGGTAGAACCAGGCGTTTGTTCCGGTGTAAGGAGTCGCGGTTTAACTCGCCGCTTATCTCTGTCAACGATACACAGAGCTAGGCAAGACACCGCGTGGCTAAGTTTCTTCGATAAATCATGGATAAGCTTGGCTCCTTCGACCCCTTTGGTAGTCGCAATAAAACATCGTTAAGGTGTCATTCGATTGCAGTAATTTCAGCCTGGATGCGCCATCAGCGAAGGACCATGAAATAATATCTGGCTGCGTGATAAACGAGACAGAAGGGCGGGAAAAAGGCATACGAGAGGGCAGGGGAGGTTGTCCCGCGGCCGCTGGCTTTTGGCCGCGTTAATACGCAAAACCAAGCCGGATCATAGTAATTTTAACGCATGCCCCGCGCGCGTAAATCCTTTCTATGCCGCGCGCGCAATTTCGCCTGTCTTTCAGCTGGAAATTGGAACGCGACGTTGCGCAAGCGATTTATGGCGACTCTTTGAATACATCGATCCACGGATTGAAGTTATTAATTAATCGCCCCAACTTCGTCGATCGTTCGACCAACCAGCAGTCCGTGCTTATTAATCCACGAAATTTTCTCCATCTGCTCCCCGTTAGCCATTCTCCTCTTCGTAGAACGTTACACAGGAGGACGTTCGACGTGTCCGACTGGAACGTTGCTAAAATCTTGATTATCTCTGTGATCGCGCGATGATTAGACGACTATTCGAATAGGGGAATTGAGGCCGCGTGGTCGGATTCGCGTTGCGAATATATAAACGTATCGATTCGGGACGTTGATGACAGTATATGCAGCATGATCGACAATTAAACGTTCGTGGAACTTTATTCTCTGGTCTTTTACGAGCAGCCCAGCGATCTCAGTCGAACGATCCTGACTCGTTTCTTCGTAAAACGCGACGTCTTCGTCTGGTGGGATCGTTTAGCGTCGCAACAGCGATGATAATTAAACGAGCTTGCGTAAAAGATCGTAACGCGAAAGATCGTAACGTTAGGAAGAATTTTTACGGACGGTCCCTGATTCGTACGTGTCTCGATTCGCAATTTCCTCGCGCTGTCAGGACCCACGAGAGAAAAAGTAAGGGGGGGAAAAAAGAGGAGATCGGACCACCATCGACTTGGACACCCGTGCGACGTGTGTCTCGTTACATGATTTTCGAAACAGTGTCCGCAATTAGACGGACATTCGGAGCTTCCTGAAGGATTTACGTCCTGTTGCGGCCGAGATTCCGGGGGAACGATTTCTTTGGACCGGTTGTCGCGAAACGCGTTGCTGAAAAAAAGAACGAGACGCCTGAACGAAGGGGTTAAAGGAGAACGCGACTTCCAATCGGCAGGGCCCTGACACGGTCCACCAGCCGCGTGTAGAGGCATACTCTGCCTTTCGATACATGTTCGTGGTGTGTCGAGAGAGTGGAGAGATAAATAAACACATAAAACCCCCGTGACAGCTTCACGCCGGATAAAAACATGTCGAGAGACACGTATCTCGATTCTCTCCTTTTTATCTCTCCTCCCTCTCTCTTTCTCTCACCCTTCTATAATCGTCCGTCTTTCTTCGTCGGTCTTTTATTCGATCGTTCCTCTCTCTCGTTCTCTCTGTTGTTCGGCTGGCATTACGTTCCCCGTAAAATGCACCGCGGCTCTCTCGGCCAAGTACTCGCTTGCAAGTTTGATGACTGTATTAATTAGGCGTAATACAGTATCCTTCCCGGCTTCCTTCCACCCTTTTTCGTGTCGAGTACTGTGTAATTACATTCCCATTCAGCTACCGAGCCAGCGCGTTTTTGCCGCCGATATAACCGGAAAAATTCTTCCACCGAACGCTATCCAACGTGGTGTGACGAAAGCTGGTTGGATCGGTGCGATAAGTGTGACGTAACGAGGTATCAGTCACGAGCATCCTCGTGGAAAAGAAAACGTGGAGGCATCGTGTACGAGCGATCGGGCTAATTAGGCCAGCAGGTTGAACGAGCCAAGAGTGGTCGTTGATCACTTGATTTCGAGGGTCCTACAGGCCACTTCGTTAGACAGCGCAATCGAACAGAAGCGTGTCCTTTAATTTCGTATTAGCCGGGAATCGAAAACGGAATTAACGAAACGCTTATCGATTATCGTTTCCAAAGCCGATGCACGTGCTCCGTATGCAAATTCGTGGAAAGTTTTCCGACTTCCTGGCTTATCTTCCATCTGGTGGAAGGATTATTATCGTTAGGCGTGGGAGAATCGTGCGAGTTTTACGAGTGCAACGACGTGGATGTCACCATTCGCGTACGATATGGCAATGGAAGGCGCAGCTGCGAGAGTAGGCATGGCCCTTTTATATGCAACTATACTGCACTCTCACCCACATGCACGATACGTGTGGCACGCGTAAAGAAATTGATCTTGACACATTCCGCCCAATCCCGTCCAAACGTCCAGCCATCACCTTTCTGCAAAAAAAGATAAAACAAATTAAAAAAAAGAACATACACACGCGAGCGTAAAAATAAGAAAAACGTGTTACCGTTTAAACGAAAGGCCCGATTTGTTATCGACCACTGGCCGATATCTGAAAGGAAAGGGGTTCGGAAATTTCAAAGAGGTCTGAGAACGTACGGGCCTAAATTTACCTGAAAACTCTAGAGCTGCTTTTAACGTCGCGTTCAAAGAGACGGAGGTCTTGGTTGTTCCATTTCATCCGGGTGGATAAAATTAAGGAGTCTTCACGGCTTAGATCGGGGTAGAAGTCGAATGGCCGCAAACGACGTCGGCTATTTTTGTGTCGTCCGCGAGAGAAGCCACAAACCCGTTACGATTTCAGGCGACGCACTTGCCACGGCGAATTTCACAACTCCGCCAGCTTGACTCAGCAAGATCAAAGGCAATTTTCCTACCTTTCCACGAACCTTTCGAAATAGAACACGATTCGACGATTATTTTTAACAATTAGACACACCGTGATCCACCAGAGATAGGAGAACAACTTCCGTGTCCCCCTTGAAATCGATATACCGTAAACCAGCTGCTATTTCTCTGAAAACACGGAACCGTGTCTGTCCTATTTCATCAGCTGCACAAACTTTCGTACGTCAAAGCGAATTATTATAGGAACACGGAGAGAGAAAGAAGAGAAAAAAGTTGGAAATGTGGAGATAAAAATTGTTAATGGCAAGCTAAAACGATCGGACTGGCTGCTCGAGATGGAAAGTATACGATATACGAAGCGAGTCACGCAGAGAAACATAGTCAGCCGCAATTTGTGTCTGACTGGTATCTATTAACTTAATTGTAACACGCTTCGAACCCCCTTGTCTCCGGTATTGTGCGCGGCATTCACGATTTCGGTCCCCGTTCCAAAGCCAGTTTGACTGGACCCGCATATTATGCCCGTAAAGTCGTAAAAGATCACTTACGCGAGACTGCCGGGACGAAAATATGACGCGGCTCCGTGTTTACGTTTCCACCGTGAGATCGTTTAATAAAAATAATCTCTGCGTCACCTGGAGAACGGGAAGTGCACTGTAATAATTATCAAGAAGAAACGTTGCCGATTAATTGGCGTTTGAAATGTTTAAAACGTAGGTTGAAAAAGGGAGAAGAAAATTTTGGGCTACTGAACACTTGCCTTTCGGCGTTTACGGTAATTGTCCATTGCTTTTTTCCCCCCGATGAAAGAGAGAGCCTCGGAAGGTCCTTCGGTTTTGACGTGTCTCGCGTACCCTCATCCGGTCACCATAAAGGCGGGATCCTTTCTCTTTCTATCTGACGTAACACAGGACACGCGTCTGTTTCGTGTCTAGGGGAAAAGCGGAGAAAGGATCGACTCGCAATGTGCGTCCTGTCTACGGAGATCCTCTCCTTGCCATATGTTTTCGCGTGTACCGAAAAGATCCGACTAGCTGACTCTGTGTTTCGTTTGTTCCAGAAATGTCCTGCTGTTCCTTGGCCGCCGGATCTTGTCGCAGTGTCTGCTCCAAAGTACGTTATCCTCCTGGACACGTTATCCTATAACGTTGAACATTCGCGAGTGAAGCTACACGTGCTAGGCACTTGAACTTGAGGAACGGAACGAGTTCCGTGCGAATCCTATGACACCGAGAGTTGTTCCGCTAACTCGTCCGCCGTACAGTCATCGTCCTACAGTGTCTATTAATTATACGCGCGAAAGATCTCCGTGGGAATGAGAAAAAGACAATTTCGAGGAATATAATTTCGCCGGACGAATGCGATATCGCTGGCCGGCTGATAAATATCGGTGGCCCGACCCCGGGACGATAAAGGGTACAAAATATGCCGTGTCCACGGATATATTAGGATCTCTCGGAAATAAAAAGGAAACTGCGCGAGAAGGATGAAGCGCGCGGTGGAAAGGTGAAAGGAGAAAAAGAGGAAGCACGCGGTGGTTTTTCGACAGGGCCCCGGTTCCAGCGACGTGGGGTGCACGCGTGGTTGTAGCTTCTTTAAAAGTGGCTGCAGGGCCCCTTTCGAGATAATATCGGAGACACTGGGGCCCGCTGAGAGATTTACGCACGACCCCCCTGGGGGTCCCGGTCAGCTCATTCATACGCAAATATTACGAATTGACGCACTCCGCTCCGTGAACCAGACACGGTATCAATGATATCGTGTTTCCCTGCAATTTGTAGCCGCGAAAGCGAATCTTCTCTAGAACGTTTCCCTTTCACGTCTAGGAACGTGGAACAGCTCCCCTTTCTATACGAAATTCCATCGAACCCCGGTTTGGGGGTGGTCCACTTGATAAATATTTTACGTGCTTTTCCCGCATACGTTACGCCACTGATGAATTATTATTGTGATACGTGAAGCGATTGATTAATGAGTTTAGTAGTCGCATCCGGTCGAAATGACCGGAAGTTCTAGCGTAGCATGCAATGCCTACCGTTTATTTATATCCGCCTGTACTATTACTCGTCTAATAGTTAAATTAGAATGGAAATAGCTGTACCTTGAATCTTTCCATCGATCTCGATCGATTAGATTTCGGCAACTTGGACGGCTGGCATTTAACGTGGAAAAGTTGAAAAGAAAAATGCATCCCTTTTAAAATGGCTACGAGGCTTGGCTGTGCATAGCTCCCAGAATATACCGCGACAGAAATACGTGCGACGTCTCCACGGTTCGCTATCGTTTACGTCCTTAACATTTGCAACAGTTCGACCCGAAAGTTCTATTTAAAACCCTTAATTGCTCGATTCTTGCCGACAATCGTTCCTCTTCCTTCGCTTTTCCTTCGCTTTTCCTTCGCTTTTCCTTCGCAAAAGACCGTCATTCGTAAGAAAAGAAAAAAAAAAGGGACAACCAAGTATAATCGATAGATTATAAAACGTATACAACCTGTGACCCAGGCAATGCTGTAGAACTAACAGGACCCACCACACACCGATGGATGGTCGTAACTCGGAACCGTGACTTGACTACGAAATAGACCTGTACGTCCTCGTGGTGGACGTCGATTGAATTCCGAATGAATCCCTAAATGGTAGAACAGTCGATATCCGTGCGGTCTATTGTCATTCAGTGACAAGCAACAGGAAATCGTGGCGACCGAAGCGTACTCGTGTCCTTGATTCTTAATAACTTCTAATGCGTTGTACCTTGCATTCGGAATTGTGGAAATTCCCATCGCGAGACATACAGCTGTGCCGTTTTTTTTTCTTCCCCTCCATTTTCCATGAATCGTTCCAACTTTTTTCCATCCATCTCTCCTTTCTCGTACGATAGACAAGAATTGAAAAAGAATACGTTCGCGGTGCTTTCAGATCTCTCTGGTAGTGCTGGGTGCAGACGCAGCGGCAAGGGACAACGCGACGCGACGTTTGCTGGAGTTCTGTTCCCTCGAACTGGTAAGCTTTTAATCGATCCTTTTAATCCATCTCGACACCCACAGGTCGTGTCGAATGCGAACCGATGCCCCCGTCCCTGTGACAATACTTTACGCGATTCGAGAAGAAGATCAAAGGACTCGAGATCGATAGATTCGTGTTACAAAAGACTCTTGCGATACCTTTTTCTTACATTCGCCTCGGTTTTCACTTTTTCTGGATAATCCTCGCCTTCGACTTCACTTTGCTCTGCTTTCAGACAGAATTCTGGGGCTGTGTCAACTCGACTTTAAACGGTGAGAGTGTGAACGATTTCGTTAACCCCTTTTAAAGTAATGCAAAATTTTGAATTATTCGTCTTTCGATAGAGGTAAAGAGACATGAGAATTGGACTGGAAGGGGTTGTTGTTACCTGGCGCAAAATCCTATATGTCGATCCACGTGCGCCCTAGCAGGATCCAGAAGGGATCTGAATGAGTCCTGTCGACCAAGCGACGAGCCCGAATTTTTCTCTTGCTTGGAAAGACGCGAGGAAGCCGAACACTGCTGCAGCAACGTGTCCAACGATACCTGTCGAACCATATGTCAAGATCTATTCTACAAGCCCGGGAAATTTTCAAATCTAAAATTCTACAGTAGCAAAGGGTGTTTCCATCAGATTCCAAAGTGTCTGAAAAACGTGGCTGAAGTGAAACATGCCGAAGATCCGAAACAACGTGAGTAAAAAATTATAAAACGTTTTGCTTCTTTTACGATTTCTATTTCATTAGCGCCATCGTTGGGTCTTTCAAATAGATTTGCATTGTTGCAATGAGGCTACCACTTCGGCTTGTCTGGACACGTGCAAAAAGATTCTGCATACGGCGACAACCGATCAAGAAATCATGGACGCGTTGACAGAAAAATGCAGACCAGTTTTGCCTCAGTCACCGTTTTGGAGCTGCTTACTAAAGTCTGGTTCCTCAAAGCCAGCTCGTCTACCTCTAGATGCGGGCAAATTGTCGTGCTGCACCAAAGCAACCAAACCATCGTGCCAGAATTTGTGTTGGAGAGCGTTTCAAGCAGACTGGGAGTCCGCATGGCGTCAGCTTGATACCGAATGCTTGTCATCGAGTCTAGAGGGAGAACTGAGGCGGTGTCTCGAGGATACCGATGACCCTTGCGAAATGGGTTGCTCGGGACTGTCCTATTGCACTCGATTCAACGACAGGTCAACGACACTTTTTAGGTAGAAAGACCCTCGCGTTTGGATCACAGCCAAACCTGGTTCCATAACTTTGTCCAATTGCTATTCTTATTCCACGCCTTTATTTCTATTTTCTCTTTTCTGTTGCTTTTTAGGAGTTGTTCAGCCGCAACTGACGAGGCAGCTAAATTGGAAGCTGATCATTGGTCCAGAGGCGGAATCGTTCGAGGGTTGGGTGTGCCTGTCCGAGCTGCTGCTTCCTGCCCACCGGAAACTCTTCGCGCAGCTGCATGCCTATTGCAACTGAGACCTTGCGAAACTAGGATTCACGAGACAAGACTTTGTCGCGAAGATTGTTTAGAATTGATGGCTAGTTGCGTGGACTGGTCCGCTATCACTGGTCCTCACACGGCTGCGACGTTATGCGCAAAACTTTCACCACCTAGATCTGACGCATCTTGTGTTTCTCTAAGGCCATTTCTAGAGGACCCTCAGGATAACGAGTCCGTGGTACGTCTCGAGGAAGATATTATGACTCCCTGCAAGAGTAATCCTTGTGCTCAGGGCGAAATCTGTCAGTTACTTCATTATGGACGACAAGTATACCGTTGTGTGCCAGCTTGTTCTTTGGGAGAAATGTCGAAACAATTAGTACCTGTAGGATCTTGGGTACAAATTCCAAGGTACGACCAACAAGGCTGTCTACGAATTTGCCAGTGCACGCTACACGGTTTGGAGAAGTGTAGAACGTTAAATTGCTTTAAATTCAATTCCTG